CGGGACCACAGCATCACGCGTACAGTGTTTTGTCCGCTCAGCCACCGGCTCCCACCCGGTTGTCTAAAGCAATAATCACACCTATTACCCTATCATACCTGCTTTTAAAGTTGTAAATTGAGTTGGTCTCTACAACCTCGTAGCCTGGGCCTCGTAGCCTGGTGGATAGCGCGCAGGACTCGTAATTCTGTGGCGCGGGTTCGATTCCCGCACGAGGCAGAAACAAATGGGCAAAGTTTCTTTCACCCTGAATGCCCCTGTTACCTAGCAGTAAATAGGTACCTGGGAGTTAGTCAGCTGTCACGGGCTGCTTCCTGGGGGTGGAGGCCTGGTCGAGGACCGGGCCGCGGGGACACTAAAGCCCCGAAATCATCTCAAGATAACCTCAAGATAACCTGCTCCTTTAGATCATTCCATTTACACACTACCTTTACCCCAAATAAAAACTTGCGTGCGTGTGTGCGTGCTTGCGTGAGTATATATTTTGTTTTCCGGTGCGCAAAAGAGTGCGTCTCTAACCTCGGGTACAACAAACTTTCTAAACTAATCCACTTTCCTCAGGTTTATAAAGTTGGACTCGCCATTTTGACTCACTACATATACTTCTCTAGAATAGACTTGTTCGCCATCTTGAGTGTGTGTGAAGTACCAAACAAGAGTCACAAACTCTCACCACCCCCCCCCCTCCTTTCACCAACCAGGAAAGTACCTGAGTACTTTCTGTAGTACTGAGTACAGAGATGACACTAACGTGATGCATCAAATGAACAAATGAACAAATGAACAAATGAACAAATTCAAATCCTCGTCACGGCCCTTGTGGATTTGTTCATTTACCTAAGTACAAGTTTCCATAGAGTTGCAAAATCAAACAACATGAAAATGATCTCAGTCACGCCAAATTATCCCCAGAAAATGATAAGAGATTTGAGGTAATATTTTTAATCCCCTTTCAAGTAGTGAGGGGGGGGGGGGGGGAAGAAAGCTTTTCAAATTAAGAAAATACGTCTTAATAAAACATCTTTATGTTCATTTCACCTGATGTCTACTGGGTTTGATGTTTATCCCAGCTGGTGTTTACCTGGGATGCTGTGTATAGTTTGTTTACAAGCATCATAAGGAGAGTTAAGAGAGTGTCATCTCCCTGGAGAATCTGAGACGCTCTCATCTCCCTCAACATTTATAAGAAATAGGCTTTCATTCCATCAGATAATTCTCTCAGCTTCACCCTCTCCTAATTGAAACCTGCGGGTGGTTTAAGGAGAACCTCGAACCTCATATGGAAAAGACGATACCAGGTATCCTGGTATCGTGGTGGACCAAACTCCAACCAGGACCAACAGCCTGGTGGACCAAACTCTCGCAAGTCGAGCCTGGCCTCGGGCCGGGCTTGGGGAGTAGAAGAACTCCCAGAACCCCATCAACCAGGTATCAACCAGGTATCAACCAGGTAGAAGTGTCGCCCAATTTTGCATCATGAGTTCAGGAAGGTTACATATTTGATAATGGGGGTACTTCAAAATAGGTACTACGGGTACCTTTTTATTTTTTAATCTCTGCCACCATCGTCAGTCTTGAGCAGTTTTTAAGAGAAGCAAATAAACAGTGGAGGGTGGGGGTGGGGTGGGGTGTGTTTGCTGCCTTGTATAACAAACACATTGTTTGTTTACTACAGTAGTGAATGAGGCGATCATGAGTTAGAAGTGTGCCCACTCACAAGGCCCTTTCCCCCTCACAAGACTGGTGCCCCCCCCTCACAAGACCCTCCCCCCCCCCTCACAAGACCGGTGCCCCCCCCCTCACATGACCGGTGCCCCCCCCCCCTCACAAGACCCTCCCCCCCCCTCACATGACCGGTGCCCCCCCCTCACAAGACCCTCCCCCCCCCCTCACATGACCGGTGCCCCCCCCTCACAAGACCCGAGAGTTCTGGAACAACCATCCTGGATGATTAGTGTCTCTGGAAGGAAGAACTAATTACGATTATCCCCCCCCCCCGTCTCTTCCTCATCCTGCCTCTGTGGTCCTCCTCCTCCTCCTTTTCTCGTCCCTCTTTTCCGCCTTCTCCTTGTCTCTGTCTTCCTACTTCCTAGCCCCTTATCTCTCATCCTTCTGCCTCTCTCTCTCTCTCTCTCCCTGCTCATGCCCCTTCTGTTCTTTATCTTGAAGAACTTTTCTTGAATGTCGTGTAGGTCGTCCTGCTCCTACTTCACCCTATTACAATCCTCCTTCACTCTTCCCTGCCCCTCCTCCACCCTATCCTTACCCCTCCTCCACCCTATTCTTCCCCCTCCTCCACCCTATCCTTACCCCTCCTCCACCCTATTCTTCCCCCTCCTCCACCCTATCCATGCCCCTCCTCCACCCTATCCTATCCACTTATCCACCTCGTCCCCACACTGCCACAGCCCACCATAATACCCAATAACCCTGAAAATCTAATTAGGTCTGTGTAATTGCCCCGAGAGGGAAACTGAGTCCTGGGCACTTACCTGCATCTTGAGCCTTCCTCATTAATGTGTCGTCGCTTCACCAATTTCATTTCTTTTTCAAAATAGGGGACAGGAAATGTTGCTAGGCCTATTATTATAATTGTATTATTCTTTCTAACGTTTTAAAATGGTCGTACAATCAATACTGTCTATTGAGTGCTCATGGGTGCAGAAATCAACGAAACTTGAGCAAAATGCAGCATTGCATGTGATTGTAAAATTGTATGGAGGCTTTATCTACGGGAGCCGGTCGGCCGAGCGGACAGCACACTGGATTTGTGATCCTGTGGTCCCGGGTTCGATCCCGGGCGCCGGCGAGAAACAAAGGGCAGAGTTTCTTTCACCCTATGCCCCTGTTACCTAGCAGTAAAATAGGTACCTGGGTGTTAGTCAGCTGTCACGGGCTGCTTCCTGGGGGTGGAGGCCTGGTCTTGGACCGGGCCGCGGGGACACTAAAAAGCCCCGAAATCATCTCAAGATCGGTTCTAATAACCAACACGAACCTTAGCACCGTCTTTATGACCACTAAGATTCTATGGCAAATGTACTAAGATTATGGCAGATTCTTAGTTATATGCCCTTCTTTCTCTTATGTCCCTATGTCTTTATGTTTAATTTGATTCTCTCATTTTCTTTTTTATTTAACACGTGACTCTCAATACCTTCTCCGTTTGCTTTGTTTCTCATTTCAAGCTTTTAGCTGTTTTTCATGCTTCGCCTTATCCTCTCTTCGTCTCTAGTTATATATGACTGCCTTGCCTGAATCGTCTCATTTGCGACTTGATAAGGGCCAAGGACGGATATAAATTTCATTTCTTTCATATCACATGTATTTATTTGATTATTTATGTATTTACATGACTAATAAACTCAATGTATAATATATATATACCGAGAAGTTTGGTATATATCCCTATATAAAAATCATATTAATGAAATGAATTTAAAAGTAAAGGTCGACTGACTCCTTGGTAATATCACCTCCGAGGAAGAAAGTTGCGTTTTTAGACAACTCTTCTGTGCTGCTTCCGTGCCCTTTTTATCCTGGAAGTGGTAGTTGAGAAGAGCAAAGTAGCGGCACAGAGAAGAACACAGAGGCCACAGACAACCATAATGCGGTTAAATGACCGCGACCGACCACCACAGACATAAACATATTCGCGCGGTATGTGGTATATATATATGGGAAAACGGCGAAGCAGTCGACTAGGGTATACTTGCACAAAAATATTCCGCGGTGTTGAGACTGGCTGAGATGATACTTGCGTGGGAGGCATATTAGAGGCATCTTGCTTGCGTGGGAGGCATATTGGAGACGACGAGGACGTGTGGAGAAGGAGGGGGATAGTCTTTACTGAACCGGGATACACATTGGATAGTCATTACTGAACCGGGATAGACAGACGTGGATAAAATTCGAGGGAGAAGACTGAACAATTGAACCGGCCACTGTGCGAGGAACAAGGACATGATGCGATAAACAAGATGACAAATAAAATAATATAAATAAAGACGGAATAAGAAACAATGAATAAGGAGGGAGGCTGATGAAAGGACACAAGGCCAGAGAAAAGGAGAAGAAACTTACGAAAACTTAACATTTCAATATTTTTATTTACAGAAAAAAAAGCAAAATGCAAAATTCTGATATTATTATTATTATTATTATAACTTTCTTCCCCCCTTTAACTAAGAGACAAACTTCCCCTCTATCTCTTTACACCCCCCCATCCTCCCCCCTATCCTGGGGCCACCCCTCAGTACTATCCCCCTATCCTTATCCCCCCCCACCTCTCCCTCACCCCCCCCCCTCCCCCCTCACCGCCACGTCAAGCCCGAAAGAATCCTTTAAAAACAGCTAATTAGATCGGAGTTAATTACGGAAAAATCGATTTAAACAGAAGCTTTGAACCCACGTTGTTTTGTGGTGCATCGGGTCAAAGGGGTCAAAGGTCGTATTAGCGTGAAATGTAGTCATAGCAAATGATGGAACGAGCTGTGGTGGTTGGCAGCTCGTCCCTGTCCACCACACAGCCTGGAAACTCGACGCCCAGACCGGATTTTTTGGGCCTCGTTCCAAAACATATTTTATGCTGGATATTTTTTCCTCCCCCTTGTCTGTTGTCCCGATAAATATATATATATATATATATATATATATATATATATATATATATATATATATATATATATGCGGAAAATCCACAGAGAAATATGAAATGAGGTGAACTGTGGATTTCTCTGTGGATTTTCCGCCTAAAATGATCAGTGTTTTGTGATCGTCAATTGCACATATATAATAATATATATATATATATATATAATATTATATATATATATATATATATATATATATATATATATATATATATTATATATATATATATATATATATATATATATATATATATATATATATATATATATATATATATATATATATTACCTTTAAAATACTCTCTAGAGGTACTCTAGAGGCGCTCTAGTAGAGTGGGAACTCTCTCTCAC